TACATCGCAGTCCAATAAAAAACTCAGTAGCTTATAAGCAAACAGTTTTCCTTTCTTAATAGGAAATGAGCCAATATTTTATTGCTGAAGTTTTTTGCTTTCGCGATGAAATACTGACTTTCAAATTCCTAAATTTTTTTTTTACCTCCATCAAAGTACAATTATATTTTCATATTTAAATAAATTAACCATTAATAAATAAACCAATTATTTTTACCTGTATCACCGTACAATAATTATTTTTATCTGATAATTGTTTCAACTTATCGTTTTTAATTCTTGTATCTTTTTATTCGACTGCTTTATTATTCCATAATTCAGGAGAATTATAGTAATCGTCAATATAAGAGGTAGTTTTTTCGTTTGGCCACTTTACAAGCGGTTATTGGTGTTGCCCTCTACAATCCGCACCGATTTGTTGGCTGTTGGATTGACGACGACACTGTTTAATACGTCGAATCATGTCGAGAGATGACGCAACCGACAGGCAACATAGGTCAACTTGTAGCATGCGGCAAGGAGACATTTTTTTTGTCACTTTGTGTTCCTTCTATGGAAAGATTATGTGTAGCATGCGTCAATGCCGTATGATACATGTTGCCTCAGTGGAATTCCGCCTTAAGTCCACACAAATCACCCATTGAAGTTCACGGTACCTTGTCTTCTCCAAAGCCAAAGCTATGATGCTATATGTTTATTTTATTGGCATTGAGTGAGGTATTGGTATTGAACTATATTTTTATCATTTTGTAGGACACGTTTCTAGCTTCGCTTTGAGCCATCTATAAACAATCGGCGAATATCTGAAAAATATTCAGAAAGACTCATTTTTTCCAGTAGTCCTCTAATATATTGACAAAATATAAGATATTCTTCTTGTTAGAAGAATGGTAGCAGATCCTTTTCTCTTGTACGGTAAAAAGTAATTTTGATTCCTTATTCTAGTTAATTTTTGTCGTTCAACTTGGGAGCCAGTAATGCAGAAGCTTCTTTTGATAGGTCAAGATCTCTGACGAGGACATTTAACTTATCCTGGTTGAAACATTGAGTAATTGTTGATGACATACCCTCTTAATCACTGCCAACTTCATTATTACCAGAATGGTGATTATAGGCACAACACTCGTCCTCAGAAAGCTCTGGAATCTGATAAAATGCTGGAATCGGTACTATCTCTGAGTGTATATAACAGTCATCGATTTGGTTTTTAGGTTCTCTCCAAAGCATTAGTACGCCGATTTTCAAACTTTTTCTTTTCCCTCTCGTCCATTGGCGTAAATGTTCTTTACAAGTTTTACAAACCTAATGCGGTGCCCAGGATTTATCCTGATATCTAGCTTAACACCAAAGTATCCTAATAAGCTTTCTTTACAAGGGTCGCAAACAGTCTTATCTTTCTGTTATATTTTAGTGTGTATTCTCCGCATATGTAGCAAAACATATAGGATGATTTACACTACTTCTACTTGAATTCCCTTTTTATCAACTTCAATTCTATCTTGCAAAGCCATAACTCACAAACTGACCTCAAATTTATTTGAAGTGTTATAATGAAGGATGAGATTCCCGGTGACGAAATGGGGATTCCCAGCGGGAAGGAAGCTAGTCAAGCAGGCGGTTTTACTTCTCTTTTTACAGTTATTTAAAAGAGTAGAGGTGATACTAAAACAAAACTTATTTCATATTTAGATTCAGCCCCCAAATGTGTCTAGAATCAGTTCCAAAATGCTAGGCTCCAAAAAATTATTTTTCTCTGTAAGCTTGTTTTAATTTTTTGTGACATTTTTTCTTTTACCTTACTTCATGACTGATGGAAATAAATTATAACCATTGACATCAATTTGTAAACTAGCCATTAATTTGGTTCGTTGTTTATTGCCTCATAATATTATATTATGGGTCAGTATAGGACTTCAATGGAAGTCTTGGAAAATCGAAATAGGAGTGCAAATTTCGATTCAGTCACAAGGGGACAAAATAAAAGTAATGTACAGACCATTGAAAGTGTAATTGTATATGACCTTTGATTTTTAAATTTTTACTTTAGCTTCCACTGTTTTTTAAAAAGAGGATAGTAATAAAATATCTTAGGAGGAGTTGGGGGGAGGAGGTCGTGCCATCGACCTTGGGGGGGGGGATGGGTATTCCTGCGTCGCAGTGTGTCGCCAAATGTTAAGTATCAAATTGTGTTTCTTTCAATCCTGTGTCACTGTAAAAGAGATTTTGACGAAAATAGGCCTTCAAAAGATGCCGATAGCGTCGTGAAGTGATAAACATCCCGATACTTCTATTCATTAATTTTCTGGCCAACCGATGACTAATTAACGACAACTTTTATTATTATTGCAATAAAACAGATGGTTAATAAATAATCTGTAATTTTATCTTATGGTTATATTGATATCTCATGTTTGTACTTCGATTTTGCGAATATCAGGGAAACATAATTTCTACGAATAAATTTCTCCCAAATTAGTTCAAAGTGCGTTTAACAACCTTCAATTTGAGTGCTAAAAGATGTCTTCCTTCTGTCTTATAGTTCGTAAGATACCGAACATAGAAATTCTCCCGACTGGGCGAATCAGTCCCTGGGGGGTTGTCTGGGCATTTGCCCTGAGCGCCAGTTTTGAGATGCCAAAAAAAAGAGCAAATAATTTCAGGGGCGGAAAAAAAATAAATATTTTTTAATATATGTTAATGATTTTCTTTTCAAAAATACAAGTCAAATCTTGTAATTTAATGGGTAATAGACAAGCGTGTAATATTCTTTGAAAATTGAGATTTTCTAGTCTTTAGTCTATTTAGTTATGGGCATAATTTTACCAGCGCTCCAAATGGAGCTAGTGAAAAATATATGAACATTTTTTTTTGTAGTAGGTAGTTTCCATTATAATTAATACATAATGGGATAAGAATCCTATTTTTTTAAGTTTTTTATTTAAAGTAGGTAAAAATGGCGGTGCCAAACCTCAAATTCGTATTCAGCATCCTCAAAAACAAGTCCAAAATATCAAAACTCAACAAACGAAATTCAAACATTTCGAGGTAATTTCTCCTCCAATCCTTGTAACTCAAAATAGCTTTTAAATAAGTATGATCTTATAAAGCTGGAAACTATGATCGTCTCAGCTGGTAATTAGTCATTCCTTCAATACATATCTAAATATGAATTATTATAAAAAATAAGTAATAATAATAATAATAAACACTGCTTTCAACATTTTAAAGTATTGGCGCTAAGCAAACCAGCGATATGACGAGGGAATAGTCGAGGACTATGTATGTGTGCTAAGGCGGAACCGATCAACTGTTGAATAAATATTCTCCCTCCGGCAAACATCAGGAAAGAAGTTGTAGTCGACTGTCTATCAGAGGCGGATTGAAGGGAGGGGTTTATTTATTTATATTTTAATATTTATATAACAGTAATTACTGTTGAAGAAAAAGAAAGGAACTATATAAAATTGTGTGAGAGCGTGTCTTGAAGGCATGTTTAACAAAAAAATAAATAAATAATAAAAATACTGTAATTACAAGAACAGTAATGCTTACATGGATAAACCTTTTTAATATGTTTTTTTTTTTTACACGTTCTTACACTTAGTAGCTGTTTGTGTTATAATTTAAAAACTGAGCATATTGTTATTGTTTGAATATTTAGTTCTGGTTACTCACATAAACAATATATTTTTCTATTTGGTGGAGGGGGTGGGGACGAGGGGAAGGAAGCTTCAATCCGGAAAGTGTAGATCCGCCAGTGATATCTATTCCAAAAAGCTGTTCATTTTATATATATTTTGTTCCTTTTGGATGGACATCCTTGCCTTCCCCTTATTTGTGGTAGTAGCAATGGATGGCAACTCGCTCTGCCTTCCAGGTATAATTCTATTTACACCGTAAGCAAACTCCCCCTCCCCCTCTATCGTGCACCCACCAATACCTCCCCACTTGACTTTCTCTACATTCACAAAATTTTCTGTACCTCAGTTGAAATTTTCTGGAAATTACCTATTCCACAGTTGAAGGAACGAATTCATTCCGTTAAGTTGATAACTCATGAAGATTTTCGCCAAATTTACTGGGTGTTCTGGACTATTCCCATGTTCATAAAAAAATCCCGAAATTTCCGACTGGTAAACACTCAGGCCTGGTTTTAAAAAATTCAGAAAATATTTATCGTTATTCTTGGTAGTTTGATTACAATCGGCACTTGATTGATTCTTATGACTGACTTAAAAAAAAATGACCCCTTGTATTTTTTATTGCCAAAGCCACTTTTTAATAATATTTTTTCATATTTAATGATTTTATGACTATCCAGCTTTAATAAAAAGGCCAATTATGGCGAAATTTATCCAAATGCTGAATATCAGTGAAAAAAAAAACATACTCAAGTGACATTTGTTGGTCCGCATATATTTAGAAGTCATTATAAGTCAGTGTGGCATCTTTGTTTTCTGGGAGTATTTCTTTTTTTTTAGATTAATAGTTGCAAGAAAGAAAACGACATGTAATGTGTGGGGGAGGGGGGTGCCGGTAGGTAGTAGGTGGGCTTGGGCCCTCAGTCTAAATTAAAATAGTGCTAGGGAATTAATACTAGTGCCTTACATACAGTAGTCCAATTTTACAGCATTGAAAAATTGACTTGAAGATTTTAGAATGAATAAATATATGATCAAAAAAGCAACAGCCCAAATTATTTCAATATATAAATAAAAATTTTCACCATTAACTTTATAAAATTACGAAGAAATTTATTAAAATATTATCAAACCCCTATAGTCTCTAACGTTTATAACAATAGTTATGAATATTTAGATACAAAATTATCTTATTAAGATATAATCATAAGCACCTGGTCAGTCCTATATAACATTTTTAAATAGTTAAACTAATTTATAGTTATATTTTTTTGTTGATGTAGCGGGTATATGTATATTATTTTAAATTAAATTTAACTTTTGTTTGATTATTCTTTATATATTTTTTTTTAATTTAAGGTTGATTTGGAACCTCAAGGAAGATTGCACGTCCGAATAGATTTAAAATGGACCAGTCAAGGTAATAGAAATATTATATTTTTATAAATATTTTAAAGAGTGTTAAAGGAACTTATTATTTTTTGGAAGTTCCTTATTTTAAAGAATAACATTATCTTATACAATCGTTATTATCTAAACATCACACACACTGAATAATAAGGGAATAAGTCTTTTCCTAAATCTTTTGTCTTATATTCCCTTTCAATTTTTGCACTTTAATATGAAAATGTGTGCTAATAATTAATGTTACTATTTGTTTTTTAACAGTGTGCTAGAAAAATGAGCAATAATGAATCCTCCCCTGTTTTATTTAGAAATTAGCTTAAATAATTCCTACCTCCCATCAATTTTTATTGCATTTGATGCATTTCAGTCCTGAATTTGTTAAATGTTATAATTCTATGTATAATATAAATTTATTCATTTTTCATATCCCTTTAACAATATAGAATGACATACATTTATTTTAAAGCATAATTTATCTGTCATTGGTATGTTTCTGTGCAGTGAATAGTTACATTATACCTTATAATTTAATTGGTGGTGTTGCATTTTATTCCGAATTTCAAAGCATAGCATGAAAGCTGTATGTTGGTACTTTTTATTGGTATGCATGTATGTGGATAATTATTGTGTTTTAATTTTACTACACAGAATGTTTTATTAATTAATTTTTATCACTATATTTAGCTCATTATTATTACAAGGGTGGTTTGAATATAAATGAGGATTTTACTGTGAAGTTTTACGGGAATTGTGTTAGCTGTAAGGGTGGCAAACTTGAGGAGTTTAGGCATATAATAGTCCCTGTGTTTAGAAAATTAAGTGAAGCATTACTCTAGATAGCTCAAATAATTTTCTCAAGGGTTTGTTAGGATCAAGAATGAACCTTATAGCATTCGCCTGTCTTTTTTTCATTGTCATTTGCTAGTCAGTGAATCTTTTAGGCCTACCACTGCTGACAACTTATTCAAGTTTCTTGAGTATTGTGAGTTTTTAAACTAAGAATAACGATTTCGTAAACATAACAGAACGCAAAATTTATCGATCTCATTATAGTGCTAACCGATTACAATTTCAACAAAGAAGTCATTAAAAGTGTCATTTTGATTCATACAAATATGCGACTTAAACTTCTGAATATTTTGAGCATTGATTTTCACATATTTTGTGGCACTTCATGTTTGATGGTAATGTGGGAAAGAAGGTCTTAAGATGTAATTACCTCATGCAATATCTTTTACTTTTTATAAAAAATTCTTTCTAAACTTTTTTTTTCTTTTTTATTGGTCAGTTATGTGTAAAAAATTGTTTGCATTGATAAAACGAGAGAAGTGAATTCTCATTTATACTTGATCCACCCTAGCATATATATGTTTTTTATAATTTCTTGAATGACTTAAAATCAGACATCTGTGTTTTTGTTATGTTTAATCTAAATAAAGAGTGATTCGATTAAATCCGTAATGAAATTTTATTATTTCATTACAAAAAATTTTGTTATAGAGCACACTACACCAAAGGTTCGCGAATTCAAGGAGCGTCAAGGTTTCAATCGGCGGAGAGGTGCTATGCGACGTCGGGTACATCAAGTAAATGGACACAAATTCATGGCTACATTCCTTCGACAGCCAACATTCTGTTCTCATTGCCGAGAGTTCATATGGTCAGTCTTACATATTATAAAAAATTGGTTCCGTGATCAAAGTTTTTAATTTAGTAAATATGGTGTGGAACATATCAGAACTTTTAGCACTAACCAGCAATCTGCTTTACATAACCTTTTCCTACTAGAAAGTGATGAATTGGCTTGAAAAATCTATAATTTCTTATCTTTTTATTCTGTATTATTTCTTATTTACATTCCTCAAAACCAATATTATTGGATTATTATTTCTTTATTCTATTCTTTTCGTTTTATTTATATTTTCTTAGTGGTGATTGATTATATAATGACTTTTCTGTTTCTTAATATATATATATATATATATATATATATATATATATATATATATATATATATTACATACATATACACACATTTAAACTTATACTTATATCAGGCCATATACTCATATAAGTTAATATATTTAATTTGTGTCTATTTTACTTTTTTGCACGAAATCACTTATTTTAGCTGGTTATAGGTCTCATTACTTAGCTTGAACTAATTAATTAATTTCTGAGTTAAGCTCGCAAAGAATCTAATTTTTTTTTCTGTTTTTTCCATAAATATTTTTTTTTTTATTAGCACTTGATTATCAAGAAAAAGTAGTTAAGGATTTTTATTATTTTGTTGATTTACAAATCTATATTATTATTTTTTTTAAATTTAAATCTTAGTTTGTTTAGTATGTATACGAAATAAGCACCATGGATATTATTTAATTTTCACCTTATGCAATAACTCTACATTAAATGATTAAAAATGTTATTATATTAAATTCAGCTATTTCCTTCTAATGTTCAGAAAAATAACTTTTAATTTATATAAAACCATACATTTGTTAGTGTAGTTATTATTAAAATATGTATTGTTTCTGTGTGAGTACTACTGACATTATTGGTATTTATTTATTTCATAATAATTTGTACATACATTTTAAAATTGTATCGTAATTTGTTCTAGATAAAATACTTTAAATATTACAATTATGTAATAAAGTATAGGTTATAATTTTATTTATTTGTAAAAAAAAAACAGAAAAAAAATCAAGTGCTAATTAAAAAAAAAATTAGTAATGGTTAAATACTTCGGGCAACGAACTGCTTTTCAGCCAGTGTTGTGAAAGTTATTTATGCTTATAAAACAATCCAAATCTGTTCTCAACAGTTTAGGCTGGTAAATTTTAGTTTTATAATTACATGAAATTGATACTTGTAACAATATAAAAGTTTTACCAACATAATTTAATTAAATATTCTTATCTTTTTTTCCTAAACTTACGTACTCAGTGTTTTCAAAAGTGATTAGCTATCTTCCAAGTTATTTAGTTGCCTCTTCCAAGGAATTAATAATAGATTTTTCAAGCCCAATATTTTATGTTTTCATAATTCATTGGAAAGTGTTATAATAAGTAGTTATTTATTTATTTTTTCATTACATGATTCGTTTTTCATGAAATAATATCTTTAATAAAACATAGTTTAATATGTAATTATTGCTCATTGATGTTCTTTGCTGATTGTTTATTGTTATGATTTTGTTTGTTTGATGTGTAGTTACCCATGACTGTGATATATTTTCAGTGTTAATTTATTTATTTATTTTTTTCTATCCAAGCTGTATTTTTTTCTATAATTTTATTTATTTTTTATAGTTTTTTTTATCATTTAGTTTTGTATTTACTAAATGGCAATATGAGTTGTGTTTTACTTTTAATAAATTTTTTTACTGTTTAGTTATTTTTTGTTTTTGTTTTTTTTATCCTACCTTACGTTTCTTTTATTATAATCCTTAATTATTAAATGATCTTAATTTATCCATCTTTTGTTTTATTTGTGTGCATAATTACTTCATTAGTGAATGATTGCTATGGCTCTAATGAAACAACTTCCTATATAAACAAAGTATTATATATGTTTTTAAGTTGCATTCAAATTTTATTACATAAATCTACACTTCTACTTAACTGTGAGATGAAGCTGAGGATATTTTTTTTTTATTTAGTAAAATTATTTTTATCAAGTTTACATAATATAAAATATCTTTTTCAAATTAGACCTTTTTCGTTGATTTTAAAATTTACGCTGCTGCTGTTAAGGTAAGGATAATCGATTCTATAACATTCTAATAGCCATTGTTTAAATTTTTTGTTATATTCCAATTTATAAAAAAAGATATTTATAATATGCATTTTGAATGTAAGATCAAGATTACAAGGGTTTTTATTTAAGGGATGCATTGATATTAATTTTTAATGATATCATTTCCATTAATTAAGAGATCCTCATAAAAGTTTTAACTTTTTATTATATTGAAATTTTTTGAAAAAAAATAATTATGCGTATATATATATTTATTCAACAACTGAAGTATTTTATCATGTAGTTTTTTAAAAATTTAACTGATTATACACATCATTCATTTTTTATAGTTTCTTTTTAATTTTGTGCCATTCAGGTTAATATAGAGAGAGTAAAATTTAAATAATTTTTAAATAGACCCAGGATTCTTTATTTATTATTATATTTTTCTATATTATATACTTTGAACATAAATTACTTATAAAGACAATTTAGCAAATATTTCTCAAAATAAAATTCATTTGGTTAAACAATGTTAAGATTATATATTTTGTTGAGTAGAAATAGTAAACGATTTATATTACATTAAAGTTTATAATTAGTTTTAAATTATTTCATGTAACTTCCACCACACTGGCCGAAGCAGCAGATATTGATGTATCACTGTTGCTTTATGATTTATTTTTATCTTCCTAGGTTTATATATTTTCAATTAATCTTTTTTTTTTTTTTAAATTTGTGTATTATAATAAGTAAATATGCAATCATTCCTTTTGGAAGATTCTTTTTTTTTTTTCTGCATCCATTGATGTAAATAGTGACACTTTGCTTTACTAAATCATAATTCACTAAAAAGAGAATTTTGAAGTTGCATTTTACATTTGAGTGATTATAGCTTTTTATCAATGCATGGATTAAATCGCATGCTGAAGGTTGAGGAACTGAAAATTATTTACCCTTTCAATTTATCTAATGTGACTGCTGTCAAGTATACTCAAGTTATTATTATTTTTCTAGCTTTGTTCAAACATATTTTACCTCATAAATTTTCAATGCCCATTAGCTCTTACAACAAAATACTTATTTACTGAGATTGAACTTATGAAATACTAGTAGGCCCGTGCGAAAAATTCGCACAGCATATTGTTATCAAATGCCAAATTAATAAGAAAATAAAATAACGCAACGTATCAAAAGATAAAGAAATCAATTGTTACTTTATCCATAAATATAATCCACAAAGAAAACAAAATTAATTTAAATCTTCATTTTTGTTTGGGACCAACATATTTACAAATTTCAATAAGCTGTATCTTTGCGAAAAATTGTCCGATTCCAATGATTTTTTTTTCCTTTTGTAGAAAATTAAGTAACGTTTTATACAATCATGGGAATGACATGAATGAATACAATGAGGGAAAAGTGTGTAATTTTTTAGTTATTCGCAAATAAAGTTTCTTTTTTTTCATAACTTGTTTGCCTGAATTTTCGGGGTGATTGGAATATTTTTCCCGCCTGAAGGAGAAGGAAGCCTTCGAAATTGGTGGCTCAATCTTGATATTTGGTGAAGAATTAACGATGATATGGCTTACCGATCAAAAACATCATCGATAAATAATATAAACTCCTCCTTTCTCGATCATAGAGACCTCAAGTCGACGAAATGAGACATGTATCAAATGACAGTACTACAATTAACGTCTGTTTGTGTGGATGCGAACCCCATGCCTTGCGTTATCTCGAAAATGGTACGTTTTTGGGCTTAAAAACGCAGGATCCGATAGTTCCGGAGGAACTATCCGGGTCTTGCTGTACGCATCAAAATCTTTAAGGTCCAATTTGTCCCGCATCGATCTACAGACCTACCACCGTTCCAGTATTGAAGCCTAGCAAAATGTTTGTATCGACTTTATTTATTTTAGAAAGAAAAACAAAACGGAGAATACGATTCGCTAACCCCCCGTGAAATTCTGAATCCAACGGTACCCCATTCATGGTATTTGAGCATGACAGGAGCTTATATTTGGTACAAAACCGATTTCGAGCCTTACTGTAATAATATATGTACGGATATTAAAGGCCTCGTTATTCGAGCGAAGAGTTATTCAATAACATTAAATTTTTCGAAAGTTTTAAGATTTCGCTATTAAGGTAGGAATTTTCGTTATATAGCAAAATAGACTTTTATAGTGTACCGTGGTCAATTACTAAAATGGGAGCTGAGGAAGCCTGGGGAAAATGGAATATAGAAGAGTGGAGGAGTTAAGACGGCCTGATGTGAGAAAAATCGTCTGTGATTGTTTGCCAGTTAATCTGTCTTTGAATATTAAATTGTGAATTTAAATAAAAGCCCCGTTTAGATGTAATTCGCGTATGTTCAACTTAGATGTTTGTTTTCACTTACCTATATAATAATGTTAGAATGAGAATTTCAAATTGAAATCAAATTCAATGAAAATTGAAAAATCTCAACCACACAGGCTTATGTCTCTAAACTGTAGGTTATGAATAAAATAACCACTTAACGCTTCTCCAATTCAGGCATCATCAGGAAAGAACAGAAAGCAAACCCGGAGTCAGTGATTGATCTTGCGTTGGAATTGGCGAAACGTTGACTGGTTATTTTATTCGTTATCTGCATTTTAGAAATATAAGGCTGTTTGGATGGAATTTTCCGACTACAAGTTAACATCGATTTTAGGCCTCTGTGAGTTTTCGCTCGTTCATATTACTTTATAATAATTATTTTATCACTCATTTATTTGTTATTTATCTATAAAGTGAATACAATAGTTTATTTCTATCTGTCCGTTTTTGAAAAAAAAGACTGGTGTTCATCGAATGTACTAACTCACACTAGCGGATCCAGGATTTAATTTTGGGGGAGGGTTTCAGCCCGAAAGATTTTTTTTTTTCATATATAACGATTATTCTTTTTTTATTTTATTTTTTAAAGTAACATACTAACTACCTATATGAAATTGTGTTTAAGTGATTCTTGAAGTCCTAAATGTAATTACCCGAACAATAATCTAGAAGAGGTAATTTTTTTTTAGAAAACATGTTTAAATTTTACCAGTTTGGGGGTGGCTTCAGCCCGAAAGCCCCTCTGTAGATCCGCCTTTGTTAACTCATGTGATGAACTATTTAGGCTAACCCTTGAGGAATCAAGTAATAATAAGTATTAAAATATATTTATAAAATAATTTTACCATTTAATAATAATAACAATACGACGAGTCCCTTTAGATTAATACAGAGAGACAA